TACCAATCAAAACGCCTGCCATTTGATATAATAATAATAAATATATGGAGAAGCACGTCAAAACGCTTTAGGGGAGCTCAAAGGGAAGAACAAAACGCATTGAAATCTAATCAATTTAATTTATTAATTTCCTAATTATCTTCCATTTCTTCGTCACTTGTAGAATGGAATTTATTTGTTATTTATTTTAAGGAATGAAGTTTGTTAAAGATGTCATTTCAATCAAGTTAGACTTAATCTAAGCAAATTTACTAGCCAAATCCCCTAATATAATATAATTAACTAAACTGTCTCAACAGTTTTGAGGATACGAATCGAAAGGAGTGAATAGCACTGTTAAAATACAGAGTCACCAAAATATCATTTTAGGGGAGTTACGCCATCGAGTCTACTGATCACTGGTCAGTTGAGAGGTCTCTTCACGCACCCCACGCGGCTATTATCACGACACACCTTCCGGACTGCTTGATAAGGGGGTGTGGGACTCCTTTCGACCTCAACAACGCTATGCACTCCCCCCAAGTACACTAGTCGACTAAACTTTGAATGAAATTTTCTTAAATTCCAATTAAAAAAGCTACTTCTTTATTTGCAAGATGGTTTTTTACCTCTTGAGGCTCCAAAAGATCTTTAATTTCCACTAATGAATTTCATTTGGAAAATGAGCATACTTAGTATTATTTTATGCTTATTTTGACCTTTTCTTCCTAATTATGCATTCTATTCAAATCTAATACCCCATGGCATCTTAATTAACACTATTCAAATGGTTTTCTGTGATCAAAACTTCTTATTAGTAGCACGTGGATTACTTGACATTTTTTCCTATTCTCTTATTTAATGAAATAAAAGACAACTCTACTTCCAGGAAACACCGGGTAAAGTTTTTGTTTAGAAAATGCACTGCAATTTTTCCGAGGCAATAGTTTCACCAGCTGGGGGGTGCGCGATAGACTTACCTCCACGTGGTACACCCTGGGCAACGTATACTCATACGACAAAAGTCTATTAACTGGCAGTTGACTTCAAACTACCATGACCCCGCTGTATGTCATATTTGATTACTTTCACAGTACTCACCTCACCTTTGTTCTACCCTTGTGTTTGTCTCTTACATCTTTGAAACAATCTTCTTTTCCACCCCCCTCTCGACTTTTTCCATTTGATGTTCCTTCCCCTCTGTGGAGCCTGAAGTCCACTAAAGGGCTAATGATAACTATCAAAACGCCTGCCATTTGATATAAATAAATAAATGAGTTTCACTAGCTGTGTAGGTAAACTCTCTTCCACTCTTAATTACAAATAATCCTTCCTCCGTTTACTATTATAACAAAAGTGGGTGTAGGTTTGAAAAGCTCGAATATAGGCTCTAATTACGACTTCTCACTCAAACATATATTTATTTATTTCGAATGGCGGGCATTTTGATAGTTATCATTAGCTCTTAGCTGACTTCGAACTTCACAGAGGGGAGAAATATCAAAGTTCAAGAGGGTGAACCGAAGAGTGATTTGCAGATGTAAAAGAGACAGGCAAAATGATAGAGAGTAGGGTAAGGTGAATACCGTAAAAGTGGTCAATTATGACATACAATGGGGTGATGGTAGTTTGAAGTGAGAAGTCAACTACCGGTTAATAGACTTTTTGCCGTATGAGTATACGTTGCCCAGGCTGCACCACGTGGAGGTAAGTCTATCGCACACCCCCCACTCAAAACATGAAGTTTACCTTAAACCTTTCAATATTTCTTTCCAAGTTCAAGACTAAAAAATTTATTTTTACTCCCATCTTACCAAATCCATGAATGTGAACTTTAAGGCATTAGATCACGAACTGCGATAAATAATTAAGTGAAAAGTACACAAGCAAGATCTAAACACGAAATAGGGCACTCAACCTCTCTCCTTCTTTTATCCCTAACTAATTAGTTTATTCTCCTTCTTCGTAACTTTAAATACCACTCTACCTTTACCTAAAAATAGCAGAGGAGATGAACCATTGAATTCTTTAAGTTACTTGTTCCAGCCGTCCACTTCAAGTCAAGATAAAATGCAGGAAGGCAACTTAAAACGCTCAAATGTAGTTTGCATCTGAAGGAAATAACAATCACAGCGTTTCCTTTTCCATTTGGCAGAGAATCGCTAATGGTCAATGATGGTGCAGTCCAATCAACCCAATGGCCACAGTTCAGCTTCCCACAGGTCCACTAAGTTTTCAGCATGTGCTAGCCCAACTCTAGCCCCTTTGGGATTTGAAGTGTGCTAAACCAAGAAAATAAAGTTAGTAGAAATGTTTTAGTCGAGTATTTATTTTTAAGATTTATAGCTGAAAATCAAGTTCACCCGTCTACTCTTTAACTCTCTTGCCCTAACAATGTTTCATTTGGAGGCAAATTTAAATGGTTCTCCACTCCGAGGCCTCATACCCCGCACAATGAACATGCAAGTCCTGCACACCGAAGCAATTGACCAACGGTCACCACCTGCCTAATTCAAAACAGATAAGATCATTTTCAAAATAACTGTCACTTGAACAAAAGGCTGCGGCATCATCGTTTATATGATATATATTCACATATCGTTAATTTGGGTTGCCTATTTCCAATATGTGTCTAATTTCTTACTTTGATTAGAAGTGTGTTTAAGGAAAATGATGCGGGACTCTGTCGTACAAAAATCGGCAGGGTACCTCATGAAGTGTTACTCAGATCTTTACCGATGAAATGAAAATCTTAATTTATGGGCAGAAGTTCCCAAGCCGACACAACAAATAGGATAGGATGTAGAAAAAAACCAAGCAAAGTGAGATATGCTTTGTTTTATGCGCTTTATAAATGAGCGGATGCACGATGATGGTAATAAAGTCTGACAGTTATTTTGAAAAAATATCAACAATGCCGTGGTGTTTTATCTTCAGACATTTATAATACACGAATGAGAGAAGATACACTTCTACCTTATCTTTATCTACCCATATCTGGATCAAATACATTTGACAAATCCTCGTGGATATAGTGAAGTATACTTTCAAGAATTGAAACTGTGTAAGAATCTCTAAAAGCAAAACTGGTGTAAGGCTAAGAAGGTATAATGATAATAATAATAATAACCGAGTGGATTAATATAAAAACGTAAGAAACAAAAAAAGAAAGTTGAAATATGGCATAATTCCTAGTTTCTTTGTAATATATCACAGCACATGGGGATAAGTGGAATTTAGCCTGTAATCATTCATCTGTTGTCCACGCAATTTGTTCTCAGAATAATCCCATCACTTGAGGACGGTTCCTTCGTCTCCTTCATAATCCATTCCTCCTCCTCTTCCTCCCCGGAATCACTGCTGCTGAATTCACTCTCACTAGTATCACCACAGAGACTCCGAGGATCTATTTCTCGCCTAACAGTGCTTGTGGAAGGTGGTATACGTACGTACCCTCGGAAAAAACGAAGACCTTGAGACATATACGATTTTCGTCGATGAGGGGAAATGATCCTGCAACGAGGAAGAGTTCATGAAGATCAATGAAACAAACTACATGCATAATTCATAAATTAATAATAATAAGACAGGCAGGGGAGAGACGGGTTAAAATTAAAAAGAGTAAACCAAATAGAACATATATGTGAGTTGATAAAAAATGACATCGTTTAGTTTGCTGATGGTGGACGAACAAAGGAGACGTGAAGTTGGTGGTGGTCTGGTTCTCAAGGTTAAACACATGGCAAAGACCTCTACAAATTAAAATTACCAATTTGGTTACAACGCGTCAGCCTTACCCAAATTATTGGCAAGTAAAGAGCTTGCTTAGATAGATATCTAGAGATGTCTCTATAGCTACGTGAACAGATATCTATTGAGATAGGCACAATCAGCTCGTCAAGCCAATTTATCAGTTAGTATTAGTACTAAAAATTATATTTAAAGCGAAAACAATACGCTTCAAGATCAAAATTTCCAGTCAGAAATGCGAATTCGGAACGCAGTCACCATATAAATAAGTTGATCTCCAGAACGAAAATGAAAACTTGAGGGACTGAAGTGTTTTCTAACACACATACAGAATAGGGGAGTGGTATTACAGAGCACTCCTGGTTTGAAATAATAACTCTGCTATTACCCCTAGAAGCCGGATTTAAGTGGTGAGTAGACAAGCCACTACCTCAATCTTAGTGGAGAACGTGTTTTGTGCAATATAACTTTAAATTTGCTACGAGACATCATGTTTACGTAGTTGCGACTCAGTTGGAAAATGCAGATTGGCGATGTATACTCGTCTCTTTTGCGATAATCCACTTTAGACTCGCTAACTCCATCTACACCCGGATTACAAAAATGTTGACGTGGATGCCCAATCCTTGCGACACTCTTCATACTACTTCTTGATATTTCTTTAGTCCCATTTTTTGCTAATTCTAAAATTGGCAAAGATTGGTATTAAGCATAACATGCTAAACTGGACAAAAGCATTCATTGGACAAAGATCATGTAAAGTCAGATATGGAAATGCTATATCAAAATCCAATCTTTTGCAAACAGGCCTCCCACAGGGAGCTGTCACAAGCTGCACTCTTTTCAATGTCTTCATCAATGACATAGCCGAATTGGTACAGACAGTCACGGGCGTTAAGTGCTTACTTTATGCAGATGATCTTGTTCTATGGTATTCCGCCCCTAAGAAAAACGCTAAGGAGAGGACAGAAAGTGCTCTTAATAGTGCACTTAAACTACTAGCAAACTGGTGTGACAACAATGGAATGGTAATTAGCACCGCAAAAACTGCATTCCAAACATTTTCTTTGGCCCATCAGAGCATAAACCCGCTCTTAAGGCACAAGGATATTACCCTAGAAAAAAGCAATGAGTTCGCCTATCTCGGAATGACGTTTGACACAAAGCTAACGTGGAAAAGTCACATTGCTAAAATAGCAGAACGCGTCTCCAATAGACTGAATGTCCTGAAGCGTCTTGCTGGTAGTGTATGGGGCTGTGCGCGCTCAACTCTAAACACCACTTACAAGATGTTTATTCAGCCAATAATGTTGTATTGCTGTGAGCCACTCATTACAGCCACAGAGGTGACTCTCAAACCNTGAGATAAAGGAATGTAGAAAACTCTATGAGCTGCTGAGAGAGAAAAACAAAACAGTGGTCCTGCAATGGATTCCTGGTCACTGTGGCATTAAAGGCAATGAGATTGCTGACACACTTGCTAAGAAGGGGACAACAATTTTGCAATGCATGGACCGGCCCATGTCTTTCCACACAATGAAGGCCTTAATCAGGAGAGAATTCCAGACCTCAAGGTACAACGAACTCAAAGCTCGAACAAAGGAGAAACAGTGGACAGTGGCACTCTCCGACATACCCGACTGGCCAAGAATCGAAGCCGTTGCTGAGTTTAGACTACGTAACGGACACGATTGCTTGGCAAAACACCTTCACAGATTGGGAGTATACACTCAACCCACATGCCCTCTATGTAACCTACATGAGGAAATGGAGAAGACCCACCTGATTCGGTGTCCAGCTCTAAAGACAAGGACGGAAAGCCAGAGATACTGGGAAGCAAGAAGACTGCTAATGAACTGCTATTAATTAACTGCTATAAATGTACCCCCCCCCCTCTTAGGGGAAGCTGAAGTCAAAGATTAAGGGCTAATGATAAATATCATAAAGCCTGCCATTTGAAATAAATAAATAAATAAAATAAATAAACGGTCCACATCTTCACAAATTCCACAATCTGAAGACAAGTGACATACTTCTTAAAGATTGAACTTAAAGAAAGTTGGCCTAGATGTGTCCTTATCTAAAACAACAACAACTTGTCGAACCAAATATCACTTCTCATTAATGGTGAACAAAAAACTGACCTTCGAGCTACCTGCACATCCTTTCATTGGGAGGCCTACAAACTAGTATAAACTTAATAAGTGAACCGAAGCTAGATTCACTCGTTATAACAGTTCATATGCAGAAGTTAGTTAAGTCTGAATTGCCCATTACTTGGAAAACCTGAGCGTTAGGGTCGGTAAATTCTGCGTCATTGATGAAGGCGATGATTAACAGGGCCGGCCGGCTTATAGAATAGTTCCATAAAGAAAAAGCAAACAACCGCCCTTAAGACAACAAATAAATCTGCTTTAGTGGTTGATAATGAAGACCGATAAACAGTTTAGTCGAGTGGATTTAAAAGGGAATAGAAGAATAAAGCTAGCCGTTCAAAACACTAAATATCGGCTCGTTTTCACTTTGCATGAAGGTACATCAGGAATGCATGCTGGAGCTAAAATCAAGGTGATCACAGTAGATAAGCGCCAGCAATCACTAAACATGACAAAATCAGAATTCCTGATGATTACCCCCAGTAACTACTTATTTCAAAATAAAAAGTAGTAGCAATGTCGTGAAGCTTACCCTCCATTAACTGCATTTCGGCCATGCGATACTAGATGCTTATCCAAATTAACTGCCAGTTGAAAGTGAATGGCTTGAATTAGATCCAAACTAAGTTTCGAGGGTTCTAGAAGGGTTGGGGTTCGATTCGTCGATCGATGCCGGGTCCAGATAGAAGCACCTTTTGTTTCAGAAGTTGCGATTGGTCGATTATCCTCAAGTCCCTGCCCACAAAACAAAATAAAAAAATAAATTGGATTTATATCCTTTCCGATTTGGCCCAGCCAAAGTGGCTCAACTATGAGCAAAATTTCTCTTAGAGATGCATTATCTAGATGCAGTAATACTTTGACATTTCAAAAAAAAACGTCTTAGTAAAAAGTACTCAATTAGGATCAGGAAACCCATTATTCAGCCCAAGCCTATACTATCCCATGTCGACAGGGATTTGTTCCATTTTTAACCTTAATGTGTCCAAATATAACAAACAAAACCGCAAATGAGCCGAGAGACGTCAGCTTTCAGCTGAAAGTATCACTATGAGAAAGTCAGATACTCAATTCATACCCTTTCTTTATACAGACAAGAGGAACCCTAAAGTAGGAAATATTTCCTTACTAAATTTCCATATAATTGCTAACGATTAGCCTTATCTGGGATATGCCAATTTAAATGTTTAAAAGGATTTTTAGTTACCGAAATGGCTTCCATTCGGCAAAATCTATTGATTTACTCAGTTGACCCAAGAGATAATCGGACACAACTTTCCAAATATCCAATTTAATTAAGAATTACCCCAGGCCTTATTCCGGCGTTTTCATCTCTACCACAACTGCTCGGCCTTCTAAAACCCCGAACCCAACAAAGCGACCTCTGCAATCAGGCACTGTAATCAACTTCTCAACACTAATCACCTTTCCAACAGTTTACTCCTTTATTTCTCTTTCCTCACGACGTCCATTTAAAATAATACCATTACCAAATCTTATGTCCCCAGCTACTTTTTGCAACCTTTATTTAATTACCTTAGGGAATGTTATTAGAACTAAATGCTCACTTATGGAAACATCCCATTCTACATGGCTCAAGATTGCCTTTTTATCTTCATAGTACCTGTAAGTGTACTAATCTGCTACAGAGAGGGACGGATTTTGAAAGTGCCATAAAACCGGCTTCAGCGATGTGATTACCAGTGAGGTCAATGCGCCGAAGGGCGCGAGGGGAGTCGCCAAGAATTTCAGCCAAGGCAATGGCCCCTTGACAAGCGAGTCCACAATTGGCCAGACCGAGATAGACGAGGTGCTTGCGAGAGTGGGCTTGAAGGGAGGAGCGCAGAGCAATCATGCCCTGGCATCCCATGAGGGGATTATTAGACAATTCCAGGTGGGTAAGATTTACAAGAGTTGGGAGACAGGTGGAAAAGTGCTTTGCACCGGCAGAACACAGACCTGTAGCTGAGAGGTAAATCCGACGCAAATTACATACGGCCTCTTTCCGACTGCCTGATTCCCCATCGGCATCATCTGCCGAAGACGATCGTAGAAAATACGAGGGATAGGAAGGGTGGCTTAGGGCGCCTGACAATAACCGAAAGCCTTCAACCTACAATTATAACAGAACAGTAGGTATCTATCATGAGCTTTAAGACGCTAGAGCTAAACAACTGTCTCATCGACAGAGTGGCCAACCAGCTCCTTTATAGTTGTATATCCGGGGCTAATGATAAATATCATAAAGCTTGCTGTTTGAAATAATAATATTTCTACATCCAGTCTTCCTCTGTCTTCTAGGTTAATAGGAATTGGTAACCATGAGACACCTTAAATTCTCATTTTGTGAAAACTATATTGTGAAGAAATAAGACAAGAATAACCGATCGAGAAGCTACAAATAACGTGCAACAACGGATCTCGTCACATGAAGTAATGCCACTACATTTCGATAACTCATAATAGTGCAACATACCCCAAGGTCATTGTTACTAAGATCGATAACTTGGAGGTTGGGATGATATCTCAGCAAAGGGGCAAGAGTTTCGATATCACGGGGACCCATGCGATTACCATTGAGGCGCAAATCTCGAAGATGGCCCGCCAAACGGATAGCTGTGGCAATATCGGCTAGCGCAGTCCCATAAATTCCCGTCTCCCCTAGATGCAGTCCACGAAGACACAGGGGTGGAAGGCGTTGAAGTGCACCAGATATAGTGTTCAACGCCGCTGGAGTGGCAAGGCTTTTTGAAATGAAAGCATTGAAAGTGAGTCGGAATGCTTCAGGGTCTTCTTCGGCATCACGAGCAGAATCTGGGTTCACAGGCTCCTGACCCGAACATTTCCCAAGGAAATCAGTGATAGCTTTTCGTGCCTCATCACATTGTCGAATTATTGCACGACGAAGATGCTTCACATCCTCCACCAATAATGGAATGCCACGAAGATCAAGCCATGTCAATGAGGTATACTTGTAAAGAGAAGAAAGTGTTTATTTAACTGTAATTGGCGAAAAGTATGACTTTTTACCACCCTATGGGTGTGGTAAGAAACATAGTTTGATAAACTAATATGAAGTGAACTATTTTAAGTTAAAATTTTGTGCTAACTATATTTTACCTTCATTCAATCTATCCTATGACTCTAAGCTTTCTCCTAGTAATCTTGTTTCTAATGAAGCCAGAAAAGCAATTGGCTAGGGTTGGATAAAGCAAATAATTTTCATACAAGAAAAACCAAATTTCTCCATTATTTAAAAAAGTTACGTATTTGTTTATGTATACCAAATAATAAGTTCGTTGGCTTTCATAATCTTGGAATAGATCCTATGTTTAAGGTATGGCTTAGGAATTTATGGCGGGGGGGGGGGGGGGGGCTAGACTAGGAATTCCTAATAAAAATAGGTCTAAAAGCTAGTAGGGAGTAAAAGAAGCTTTAAAATTTTTAGTGCATTTATAAAGGGCAATAGGACTAACTGTAGAAATGAAATTTCCGATTACTTCAATTCCATTGCTGGCGATTTTCTTATTCCGTGCAAGACAGAGTTCACTGCAGGGTTTGTAGTAATCGAGTGCATCCAAAAGATCGGATAACGTCTACAAATTTATGCATTTTTTTGAAAAGCCACCTATGACCCTAATATGCATTAAAACACTTCAACAAAAAGCATAGCATGTGTTGTATTTAGTGGGTCAAAGAACAGAAGTATTAGAAGTCGATGTAGTTCAAAGTATTAGAAATCACGACAAGGAACTAGCATGGTTATAAAGCAACTAGATTACTCCTAGAACTATAGTAAAAGAAGTCTTGATAACACTCCAGAGGACTACACTCAGTTCGCTAACACTATCAGAAGCGAAACCGGAGAAATAACATGTCGGTTCAAGAATAGAAATCGAGGAACATAATACTGGCAAATGTGATTGGAACGTCACATTGAAACTAAGCAGCTCAAGATAAGCAGCAAAAAGCAGCAGAAGACAGTAAATGATAAAGTCTGCTATATGGTATAAATATAACATAACATAAACAGAAATCTCAAATAAAGGCTCATATGAAAACACCAGCAAGCAATACATAAATTGTTACTACTGTTTTCGAGAGTGCTGAAAAACGACTTGTTAAATGTGGAAATGAAAGAAAATTGCACATCACTACTGCAGAAAATCTTTTAAAATACGAAAATGATAATGTAAATCAAAGGACTATATCAAGCATGAGTGGATAATAAAAAAATTTGTGGATTGAAAGATTGGGAGTTTTTCGGTTGGAAAATAAAGGTGCCTTATCTAAGCATCAGCCAAAAGTTTATATTCGTCTACATTTACAAAATTCCGCGTTTAATAACGTAGATCACATTCCGTTCGATTTCACTAATTTCAAAAAAAGCGTGCGTAGTGCTCTAGGTAGCATAACCTGCAAATTGCAAATAATGATCCATGTGAAATACTTTTACTTTGAAGTAATAAGTCAAATGAAAGAGTTTCCAAAAAACTCCTGCTACAGCGATAAATTGAGCACTCTAGACAATTCGAAAGTAAAATTTGAAACAACTAAGGAAAAATAAATGCACTTACGTTGTCAGTAAGATTAGTGTTCTCAAAATTAAGATGATAAACTTCACAGTATTTAAAAATCTCCTCAAGGCCCTGAATGTCCTCCTTGCATAGTTGAGTACCTTTGAGAGTGATAACGGGGATTTTGGTATTGGCCAGAGGAGCAGCGATCTCCTATGCGATAAAGAATACAACTGAAATAGATATGCAACAATATGCGAAAAAGGTACGGAAAGCTCGCCTACTGAAAGCTGCTCAATAATGGTAGAAAGTGGAGGACGATTTAGTTTTAGACAACTTTCTGCATATTTATCAATGATAACATGATTTGGGGTATTTCGGTCTGTAATACAAAAAGCATCAATTATTTTCAATTTAATAAGAACCCAAGCAATCAGCAAGAAATATTAACTGACCAATGCACCATGGTTCAGCACAATTAAAATCCAATTCTGTGACTAATTTATCATCTTCTACGAAGCGGACGCTTTTATGACGCTGAGAATCAGAGAGATTAAAGTCCGGGACTGTTAAAAGTTTAACTGCTGGAGAGTCGGTTGTATCAATGTTCGCTCCAGACAACATCAACTTACCTGAAATAAAATTCCGTAAAGGGTTAAGATAGGTAAAAATAATAGCACATGGATGTTCAGATATATCATAAAAAAGTTGATGCCAAAATTAATGCAAAAAGAGCATCTGTAAAATGAAACAAATACCCGGAAGATTTAATGGTATAGAAATAAAAATAATTATGGCATGTTCAATTGGAGTTTGTTACACAAAATAGAATCATCCAGATTCGAAAACTATTGGAGTCAAAACGAAACAACAACCCGCAATTAGCTATTCACAACCCATAGAATAAGTAAATAATTAGAATTTGAAATATTCACATATTCCAACAATAAACAAATTCTAAGTTTCAAGATAGCATTGCTTGCGTTGTAAAAGAAAAAATATATAAATAATTAAGTATTTAGTTACATGGATCGGGAGAATAGAATATGAAGAAATAAATGTATTAGATATGCGTATTTATCACAGCAAATATTTCCTTACTATCGTTACGATAGTGCTATATTGGGTTGATAAGTTAAAGGTCATGTGCAGAAATATTTGGCTATATGATGATTTATCGGTCCAATAGATTGGCTCAGGTTTAATGCACTTTAAAATTTTAAAAGACATGCATCACGTTGTAACTAATACGTAAGCAATAAATCTCCTATTCATTTAATAATGAAAAATATTAATTAAAGATGATATGGCTTTTCGCCTTTCAAAACTATCGGCAGATTTAGTGTGGCGTTTAACAATGGTACTATAAGACCAATGGATGATATGATCGTCAATTATGCTTGACTGTAATACGACAGGATCCACCTTTGATTTTGACTACTTAATTTGATAATTACTATCTTTTTATTCTCGTAGTAGAAACGAAGGATATTCAATAGTATATTATATCTAACAACTTATCAACTTCATCTAGTCAACTAGAAATAATTGGAATCGCCCATTCTTTCATTATCCGTAGTTTGTTGGTTTTTATCCATTCAAGTATCCAAGACAGCAATGACTTATAACAAATAAAAGAATAAATTTTTGAGACTCAATTTAACAAAACCAGAACTGCTTTGATCTTTACAAATATTACATCCCTTTCTCTCTCCTTATCGGTTGCCAAAACCGAACATACTCCTTGATCCGTAGTTTTTTCTTCAATAAATGCTGTCCTCAATTAGGTTTAGTGGACTGTATGAACTCCGACAACATTAATCGCTTAAACTTGTCAGATTAATTCCTATTTGACATTGACAACACTTTGCTAATAAAGGCCTCTTTGTTTCTAAACAATTGCCACCTTTCTTACTAGAAATATAATAATTTGGTTCTCTTGGTGTACAAAATAAAAATAAGCTTCAATATAATAGTTGAGTGAAATAGCATCCAAAGTGAAAGCGTGGTATTTATGACCAAGATTGGTAAAAGAAAAATTGAGGTTTATTCCAGAAATTAAATTAACCTAGTCAGTTAATAAGATAAGTAACTAAATATACAAATTTTAAAAGGATCATTTTTGCTAAGCTGTTATTTTTTATGTAGTTCATCGAGAATTCCTGTTTTAAATTCTAACAAACTGTTTAAGAGAAATTCATTTTATAACACAAAATACGATGTAGGGGATTTCCACACTAACAGCAGCCAAAAATTAATCACGAGCAAAATGACTTGGTTTGTGAAGTTAGAAATTGCCATTAGTTATTGATACGTTTCAGATACCTGAAAAATTTATAAGAGCAACAACAGCATATTTCTTTCTTCTTTTATTAAGAATTCATGATTTAATATTTTGAAAGTAATTGCAACAATCGATTGTCATTTGTAAGATAGATGCGCACTTTTTCTGCTAGCACAACATGAAATAATGTATTCATTACAGACATCATATTTTATGATATATTAGTTATCTCTTTTTTATTAATGGTCGCATCGAATGCTGTGAATATCCTATTGGCTAGCGTAAAGAACTAGCGAAGCCTGCGTTAAGCGTGGTTTTGTGGGTCGTGTTGTTTCTGTCTTATTTTTGCAGCACGGATGGACCAAGTAACAGATATTGAATACATGAAAATTCAACGAAAGTATCTTATTCCTCTGGCTGAATCTGTACGATTAATAGGATTCAATGACCTTTTAACTAGTTTATAGGAATAGCAGAAGATCCATCTTCACTACCTGCGTTCAAAGATTTTATTATCAACAGCAGATCAACACCGTGTAATAAAGATAATGTTAAAACCTGGCGAAAGGATGCGCTCAACGGTTTGTCTAAGTTATCTTTTCCTTATTCTTCAGCGTTACAATATGTACATAACAGATTGACCATGGAGGATGAAATTGAACCCGAAGCTCCTAATAATGCGAGACAAACATCTGACGAAATGGTTGCAACTCCGTCAGAGCCTCCTACCGCTGCACTAAAATGGCAAAAATCATCTTTAAGAAGTTTGATTAGGTTCCTCTCATAATGTTTGCTTTTAGTTATAGATACTTGTTCTATCCCTACGAATAGGGTTGAAGATATAATTGGCACGGTACCCGACAGTTTTCTGGTTTGCATTCCATTTTTCGGTTATTTTTAAATATTTAGAACCAAGTTGGATTAGCTTTTAAAAGTAATTTGCATCCTGAAGATAATTTAGATATTCCGCCAACAATACTTATTAACGGCCCACCTTTTTGTGGAAAGACCAAATTGATAAAATCAATTGCGGGGGTATTTCGTAAATTGAATTTTTATTTTTATTGGTCTTAGACCCTTCAAGTTAACTTCGTCTCCGTAACTGTGGGTGTTGTTAATCCCTCGGCTCGTTCATGGAGGGAAATTTTCTGCGATGCTAAGGTAATGATTGCCGTCCTGATTTCTAGATCTCTTAGAAATATGCCCCATGTGTACTACATATTGATGCAATCGAATGTATGGAGAAGCATACTGTCCCAATTGGGGGCTTCAGGGTCGCTTGTTTGCTGAAAAACGAACTTTTGCCAGGTGAGACTTCACTTCCTGCATCAAGCCCTATTTTAGAATGCCTTGGGACAGGAGTAATTGTTGTTGGTGAGACAAGACGACTTTTGGCGAGTCTCCCACAAGAAGTAACTGACCTATTTACCGACCGTTTCACTTTTGGTATGATGGAGGAGTCCTGTCGTCTAAAGTTTGCTTCAACTTCCATTACTATTTGCCTTTTTTAGTCTTCTTTCAAAATACCTGCTGGAATCGAATTCACATACTTCATCTGATGCTAAAATGCCTCTTTTTCTGGATTATGGATTAACTATTCGTGATATTGCCCATCGTACACCAGGTTACGAAGCGGGAGACTTAATTCGCCTAGTTAGAGTCCTTCACATGGAGCTTATCACGAAGTCAGAAGAAGTGAGGTTACTGTCTAATCTTTATTTAATGTGCAATCGATGCATTAGTTTGGTTCGAAATTTTGGTAGAAACGTAGCATATATTAGACAATTCACAGCATAAGCGACGTCTTTTAGTGAAGAAAAAAATTTGCTCAAATTGACAATTTGAATTCCTCGAGGAGTATAGACCTCCCCTAGTGTTACGGTAATGTGTAGTCGCATTAGCACAATTATACCAAGTGGGAGGTAAAGAAGGAGAAAACAACTGCTCATAACCAAGTGGCCTGCAATGCGTCCAAGCTCCTGAACTCCTCCCCATCTTCTTGACACAGCTTTGCGCCATCTTTGAGCTCTCCATAATCGCAAAATGATTATTCCATTCAACACAAGAACTAAAACGACAGGTAAAAAGAACGTCACTACTGTGGAAAACACAATAGCAAAATCAGCTAGTTGAGGATGTGACTGTCGATGCATTTTGCATAAGCCATCTTGGAGTGTTTGTACAACCAGTAATGGAACATTCCCCATAGCACCGATTAGAAAAACCGCTAGACAAGCCCACAGAGCATGTTTGGAGTATAAACAAGCATGAAATTTGATAGGATGGCAGGTAGTCAATACGCGATCTATCGAGAATACTACTACCAAATAAGAGGAAGTAAAGTACATAGTGCTTGGGAGGTATTCGAAAATTTTGCAATTTATCATTGATGTGGCATCAAGTTTAAAGCAGTAACTACCGTTGGTAGCATAGTCGAGACCCCTTCCAAGAAAATCATCAAGAATGGTATTGAGGAGAAGGGATACATTATGAACCACGGCTAAACTGGTGGCGAAGATGGAAAAACGTGTGCGGGAGGGATTTTCGTTCCAAAAAATGCTGATAATTAGGCTATTTCCTATTAATCCGAGAATCGCAATAACTGGTGTGGCATAAGCTCTAAAAGCACCGACCAGAGCGCTGTAGCGAGATGAATCGGAGGAGAAACGGTCAAGCATAGTGAACGAGTGTTGAGTGCGATGGAAGAGTTTTAATCGTTAGGTCAAGTGCAGAGTACGGCTCTCATCTATTTTTCGCTTATTTTGGTTTCAGTGCGATGGTAGGGCTGGAAGGGATAAAGTTTCCTGGAAAATGTTAGAAGCTGCATTAAATCAAGTTATTCCTGCTGTCAAAAACACCGCTGAATTCGTCACAATTCCTGATGTCACCTGGAAGGATGTTGGTGGACTCGAGACGACCAAAGCTCATCTCCATAATCAATTCATGGTTAGTTCACTTTATATTAAAAGCCAGTTTGGACTTGGCTTTGAAGGTATGAGTTTTCAAGGGGGCACTGCATTCTTGTGAATTTTCCTAAAACCAGTTGGAATTTGTTTGGTAACAGAGGAAAGCATACACCGAGTTGACTTGCTGCTCAATTGTCATTATTTCAAGTCTTAAATCTTCATATTTCACTTACCCCTTTCTTTGGTAATTGTTATATTGAGAATTGCGTGATCTCCAACACAACTAATACCTTCAATGCGAGCTTTTTATCTGTTGAACTAAGTAAACATAAATTCAATCCCGCTTTTAGCAGATTAACTTTTCCTCTCAACAGCTTTCTTGCGATTTCTGATGGAACTCAAACCAATTTGATTGTTGTAATGGAGTCTAATAGAGCTATAATCTTTTTGGTTCTGCAATTTTTCTATTTCTTCCGTGCATTTGATATTACGCCCCCCCCCCCCCCCCCCTATTCAATTTGTATTAATATTTTTATCAAATGAATATTAATTTTTTCTTCGATTAGGTCTTCCTATCAATTACCTACCCTTTTAAACTTCTACTACCGTATGCATGCTGTGCATTCACAATATACGGTAGCAGCATGGTTCAAATTTTTATTAAAGGTTATCTTGGTAATAATACACTTTAGAGTGTAAGAGGTTTGAGAGAGAACATGACTAGTAAATCGAGACAGATCAAGACATGTTAATGGGTACAAAGATGGAGCTAAATAGCCGTCTTGCAAAATATCCATTGTTCTCAGTCCCACCGTGGGATTTAATTTGACAAACCCTTATTGATTGATTTGCGTTCTGGCAAGTTTTGTACTTGCCGGGAGGTTCTAATTCTTCAGCAGTAACGTGTTTGAAGGTTCTCGGTTGGCTTTTTTCACTTGTAGTATAGGTTAAATAAGGAAAATATTCACTCCAGATACTCCAGTATTGTCAAGATTAAATTAGCGGTATTGACTGTGCGGTAGTTATCAGAGGCCCATCAATTTGGTGAAATAAAAAAGGAGGAATATGATAGCCTTATCCCATTGTCTTTCTTTTAGCTTCTCATAAATGATTGGGAACGCGCCCAGAAGCTACGACGTCGTTCAGGAGGCGTCTTACTAGAAGGACCTCCAGGTTGTGGAAAGACTCTGATTGCCAAGGCTCTCTCCAACACTGCAGGATTAAATTTCCTCTCTGTAAAGGGTCCTGAAATCTTGAACAAGTACCAAGGCGAGAGTGAGCGTCGAATCCGTGAGATATTTGAACGGGCGCGCGCCTGTCAACCCTGTCTCGTCTTCTTTGATGAAATTGACGCTATTTGTCCAAGACGAGATGGTGATGAGTCCAGTGGGAGTCGTGTGAGTGTCGTGAATCAAATGCTGGTGGAATTGGATGGAATCGATAAACATCGTCAAGCAAGAGTGTTCGTGGTGGGTGCTACCAATAGGAAAGATATGATCGATGAGGCCATTCTCAGACCAGGTCGATTGGGATTACATTTATGTGTGCCACCTCCAGAAAGTCAACAGGATCGTGTTGATATTCTCTCAGCCTGTACTCGCGGAGCCACCGCGCCTCTTATTAAAGGGGGCATGGATGTGCTCAATGGAGTTGCAGCTGATCCTCGGACCAAAAACATGAGGTAAGTTAGCTTAATTTGTGATATCGGAGCCGGTTTTGACCTGGACCTCAAATGACAGGTCATTAATGTTAAGCCCAAAGTACCTTTTTGAATGTGCAAATCTGCTATACTATTGTTTGCTTTTTGTAGTGGTGCTGATTTGGAGAACCTGCTGGAAATGGCCAAATTAAGTGCCCATTTGAAGAGACGTGATTTTCTTCTTGAGGCGGATTTTCAGGTTGCTCTTCAAGAACTGAAAAAGTGACAGTAATTTTTACATACTTGTGTATATACCTATTTCCAAGAATTTTCATCTTTTTTCGTATCAGTCCAAAAATTGTGATTCAGACATTTTTTCAAATTTGCCTTTAACGGTTTTAAAGAGAGTGCTGTGGTTTTGGGTTTTCATAAATTACTGTTACTAAAGCTTTCGGGAAAAATTTTTCGAGATAGTGGGAGCCAGGTTAACAGCGTGGAGTAAAGATTTTAGATTAAGATCCGGGATCATGTAGTTGAGAGGTGGAAATTTGGGCATTTATTCATTTAAAGCAGCTTCAAGTTTTAGTGTTTAAGACCGAATAAATAGTCCATATCAGGAAGGTCTGTCTATAGGTAGCTGAGGGAAAAGTGGGAAAATGTTGATAGACCACGAAGTCTACTGTGTGGAAATGGCTGAGTGTGCGTAATGCCAAGCTAAGTGTGTTATTCTGATGACCATTAATAGAAATACTCTAAACTGAGCTTTAACTGCATCAATGTAGCTGGGTCAGAGTTGCTGCAAGCCGCAAAATCTCTCTTCCCAAATGCACAATAATAGGGTTCCGAAAAACGAATAGCTCAAACTAAAAGTACCCAATAATGCCCTTCCACAGTATTATTAATGGCGTCAAATAACGAATTGATATTCCTCTAATAATTTAATTATACATTCATAGTCCCGCGGCTATTCAGAAGTTAACTTTCTTTTAGGAAAGAAATGCTTCAGTTATAAAAGTTTTAATTCACTTTTGGACCTTTAGATTAAAATGAATTGGAATTGCACCGGACTAAAAAGGAGCACCTTCAGCTAAATCCGAGAAAATGCTCTTTGCTAATATGATTGAAAAGGAATCAACTCTTTTACTTATGGAACAGGTCATCATTTTTCTGGCACAATGTCCGGTAATGTTTGGCAGGGTCTAGTACTGATTTATAATATTTATATGATGCAATGGGTAATTAAAAAGCTGCACAACAAGATGACATGAGATCAAATATGAGCCCCAGCAAGGGTACCTGTGAAGAAACAAATTCTAGCATTTTGAACTGAGAAGAAAAATTTAGCCTAAGGATCAGCTTGAATTTCCACGTTCAAACCATATGAAAATTTCCCAGCTCAATTCATGTGCATATTCTTTGCCATGCCCCAAATACCTTGCCTTATCTCTACCATTATGACAGTTACTTACACTTCTGCGTTCCATTTTTCTGTTCCTCCACCCAACTTTTTATAACTTTGATGTTACTCACTCTGTGAAGCCCGAAGTCAACTACAGAGCCTATGATAACTATCATAATCCCTGCCTTTTGATATAAATAAATGTTAATAAATTCATATGCTTGTCCTTTTCACTATCGAAAAGTTACATAAATTACCCACAGTAAAAGATAGGTGACTGCTAATTTGCGTCCATTAAAATAGGGTTCTAGAGATTTTTATTTGAATTTTAATGACATACAATAGTTTTCACAATAAAATATGATTAATTTGTCGTTTCAATTTAATTAAATTTTACAGGAAAGCTTTTTATAATTAACTTTTCATACTTGCCTTAACCCATAAACTTATTTTATATTTTAAGCACGTTATTTAAGGCTCCAATTGCCATAGTAAAACTGATAAAATTTTGTTTAAGTGGTCCAGTTTGACCTCTGCAAAGATGCCAACTTCGCACGTGTTGCCCTATTTGTCACGGCTCGATGGCTCGTAAGGATGTGCACTTTGACGATGAGGATTTTCCGCCGCTGGGTCAAGGAAATATCAAACCAAGTAAGAACTCTGCCCCATCAAGGAAAACGAGCCAAAGGAATTGGCAATCAGTGGATGAAATGGCCAAACCAACGGAATCCCAAATGAACAACAATGCTACAGTCAATAGTCAACTGGAAGATCAAAATAATCGAATGAATGGTGCTAATCATAAGGCAGTTAGCCGTCCTCTCAGGCGATGTGGAAAATTTCCCAATTTTTGTGGTGGCTATGAATTTGACCTGGATACATTTTATCCCATGGGTAGGTAAACGATATTTCTTATTAGTATACAGATCCTTTCTCTCGTTTTGTATGCCCGGTATTCCAACAAATTGAATGCCGTTGTCGTAATCCTCTATGTAAAGGCTGCTATACGGGACACCTCATGGCAATAAGGAACCAAGTGGATTACTATTTTGGAGATGATAATTATTTCAGAGACAGTTATTTGCACAAACGATTAGACGAAGAGCGCTATATTTCTGTCGATTTGCTGTTACAATTTCCTCGGATGAAGTCGCTTAAAGCCACACACGAAGATGTTGTTAACGTAAGCAAAAAAAATTTTAGATCCAATTTACTTGAATTAGGCTTGTCTCGGTAGTGCTACTGTTGAATTTAACTGCGATGGAAGCAAAATCCGAAGAATAGAAATGTACAATCATATTTCAAGGTTACTTATCGGTAAGTTCTGGTTTAAGTCACGAGTTGTTTTCTCAATTTTTTTAGATCAGAACATCGTAACAGTTCCTATGCCCGCACAACCCCCTCAAGAACAATTTACTCTACCTATTGAATCCGATGGAAATAAAAGGGATGAAATCGAGGGTATAATGGGAGAGGATGATGGTAAAGCCAAAGTGAATGGAATGGCCACGGAAAAGTCTCTGGATGGAGATGCAACAGAAGAATCTAAAGTTCAAGAAGAAGAGCCATGGCAGACTCCTTCCGTTAGACGTTCGAAACGGGTTCATTCTAAATCGATGTGCGAATTTGGTAGCAAACATACAAGATCTAGGGAATCATCAACAAGTATTAGAGAGGACGAACTTATCGATAGTATGTATCTTATTGTGTCCCCAGATGTGATCGGTGAAGATTTACCTGGTTTTCATGACAAATACGCAACATCACAGAAGCAGAAATCTTCAGCGGGGGTGTCCCAGCGTGTATTGGCTAAGCATCCAGGAGGTGATAGAAACCCCAGTCATGAGTCGAGACGCAAGCGAAGAAATGATTTTTACGTGCAAATTAGAGATCATCTCAGAAATTACCGCGAGGGATTGCGAAAGCGGATGGGATCACAATCAGATTTTGATTTTGATTCAGATGAGGAGGACGTTACTTTTTCTAGATCCAGTTCTTACACTGATGTCAGTTCGACAATATCCTCGAGTAAGATTCAAATGGTCGATGAAAAAGCCTTCTCGGAAATAAAATCTGGGACTAATTTGATTAATGATAACGATTTCGTTGATTTAAATCCAACGCCCTTCACTCCTCAATGCTCTGCTAATTCTCAGTCTGACGAACCGGTATTTGAACGACTTCCATTTAACTATCCCTTTAACAACGCTTTATCCTCAGTTAGTCAATATTTGCCCTCTTATCTTTATCTACCTCCTACTCAAGCATACTTTCACACATATCCGGCTGTTTCCAATGAGCAAACAATTCCCAATAACACTGCTGATATAGCTGTGACTGCTATTCTCAATGAAATTAATTCTGCTAACGCCCCTTCTCCCAAGAAGCAGATTCGTTTTTCTAAAACTAAAGCAAAACGCCGTGTGGCAGGGTTTCATGTTGGTAAAGGTCATGAATGTTACGACGTTGGCTATATTTTTGATGTGACTGGAAAGCGTAAAAGACGGGACTCAGCAATGTCTTTCCCTGAAGTATTTGAAGCTGAGGAAGAAGAGGTACCTATTGACAATGGGATTGATGTTCTCATGAAAGAAAGTACTTTGGTCATCAGGTCCAATGCTCCTGTTAAAAGTCAAGAGATAGCGCATCGTAGAAGAAATGCCAGATCCTTCTGTGATGACACTATGAAGTCATCCCGTGGCTCTTCCATTTCTCGTTCAAATCCCTGCAAAGTTGTCAGGGAGGCTCTGGATTCATCTGGTCTCGCTACTTATAAATATACCACACTGTTTAATAATGCAATGAATTCAAGGAAGAAAAATCCTGGTCATGTTACAAAGCTTATGAACGTTCTCTATACATACTGGTCATTCTTTTTGCGAGAAGAATTCGTTCCTAAATTGTACAAGCATTTTCGGCGTTTCGCGAGAGAAGATGCAGCATTAGGACACCGCTATGGCATTGAATGCTTGTTTAGGTTTTACTCCTATGGGCTTGAAAAGAAGTTTAATGAGAACGTTTACAATGACTTTCAGGTACGTTGTACTCAATAACATTTGATTTATTTTAATTTTTTTATTGTCTGCAGGAGGAGACTCTTGCGGATTGCGATAGTGGCCATCTCTATGGTTTAGAGAAATTTTGGGCCTTCCTGTACTACTCAAAGAGGGAGCCTCCACATATGCTTCCTCGCTTAAGCGAACTTCTAAAGAAGTATAGGTCTAAGGAGGATTTCCGGAAAAAGGCAAGTTCCATTACATTTTCTTATTTCTATGCTGTGGTGTAAGCCGACTACATTGTTTTGTCTTTTTCACAGTTCGATATTCCTCAGGGCTTTTTCCATGGATTAAAGAATGGATCTAAACGCAGTCGTAGTAGAAGTACTAATGGCCCTAAACCTCAGCTGTCAAATCCACCTTCCGTTTCCCTTGAACCGTCTAGCAAACAAGAACCTTTGGAAGAGAATCAGCCCCTCAAAAACAATCTATTAAATGTAACTACTCCGGTTTCGGATTCACCTTTGAAGCAGGAACCCGTCAAGAAGTGCAACGGATCTCTTAAGAAGGCTGAAAGTAATTCTGCTCAGACCGCCGATAGTTTTGAAGACAAAAAACCAACTGTCGAACAAGAAACCAAGAAAGCACAGGCTCCTCTTTCCACAGTTGTTTGGCCATCACAAGGTTGGAAGCCTAAGAGGTACGAACCCGTAGTGAAGAAGACGGAAAATCCTGCCGAAAGCACAATCTCTTCCCAATGCCAAACCGATAAAGCGGGTTCCAGTTTCAAGAGCAATAAGAACCCTAAAAGGCGCCGTAAACCAAAAGTAAAACAAAATCCTCAGCAGCAAAGAAAACCGCAAAATCAGCAATAAAAATTATGGTGTCTTTGGCTTATCTCTTGAAACTCCTTTCCCTTATTCATGTTTTTAAATTTAGAAATAAGGACATTTTCAATTTTAGATGTATGCCATTGTGGATGTACAGCAATTAATACCCTGGAATAAAAATATAACTATTTAACAATTTTTATGTTCTCTATTCTATCGGTTTGATTGACAGATAATTGATCCAGAAGTATTGGCCCTTTCTGGGGTTTTCGTTAATCTCAAAACAATGAGGCTTCTCTGTGATTATTGTTCTAGAATTTGCCCTGTTTCTGCTTGGAAAGCTATACTTTGTGAATGGATCATTTGGTGATGTTTTGATCATATCTTTATTACACACCCTTTACTTATTGTCGTTATGACTCTGCGCACGGGTGCAGGTAAGTCGGTTGATATCAATGTCCAGTGGTGTTGATAGCCGATGGCTCGTAAGAGCGACTCAGTGATGCCGTTCCTTTACACTTGTCGACTTTTCTCCTTTTGTTAGCTTAGAAACAGACCAACATCAGAGAACTGTGACCATAGACTAGAATTTGTTGCTTCCTCCGACTTGAGTATCCTTTAAACTATTCGGCTCGAATTGCCAGTTACTCGTGTATAAATATAGTCTCTCCTACTCTTTTTCGTGCCTTTTATTCTTCCATATTATATTACCTCATCAAATAGGAAGCCTTATAACCTATAGCTATTGGGACCTAGTTTCTGGGGTCTGATTCTAAAAGTCTATTGCAGTCTAACTCAAAAAGTACTCCAGCTTCTAATAACCTTCAGTACTAGAGCTAAAACTTGGATATTCTACATTATTTAGTTGGATTGACTTAAAATTGTGTTCCGTTTGAGTGGGGAAAATCATATATTCTTCAGGGCTTAAACAGGCTAATGCAATAGCCATACATGTGGGCCACAAGTATGGCTGCGTCACTATCTTAAGTTTTGAATTCATTTATGTGTCAGAGATGATTCATTATATCTTCATCAATGACGCAGAATTTACCGACCCTGACGCTCAGGTTTTCCAAGTAATGGGCAATTCAGACTTAACTAACTTCTGCATATGAACTGTTATAACGAGTGAATCTAGCTTCGGTTCACTTATTAAGTTTATACCAGTTTGTAGGCCTCCCAATGAAAGGATGTGCAGGTAGCTCGAAGGTCAGTTTTTTGTTCACCATTAATGAGAAGTGATATTTGGTTCGACAAGTTGTCGTTGTTTTAGATAAGGACACATCTAGGCCAACTTTCTTTAAGTTCAATCTTTAAGAAATATGTCACTTGTCTTCAGATTGTGGAATTTGTGAAGATGTGGACCGTGGGAATTGGGAATTCACACACTGGTTAGATTCAACAATTCCCAGACCTGTCCAAGGAAACCAGTGTCTAGTGCCAATTTTAGATAGGCTGGGGGTGGGGGCACTCCACATTCTTTGTCTAGGTAGTTTGGTCATTTCACTATCTCCATACATTTTGCCAAACTCTGCCGCATATCAGGTAGTATTGGCTAGCTGTCGCTTAGCTATTAAAAGAGGTAGATGAGCCCATTCAGAAGCATGGGGATTAAATTTTGATGTTCTGATTTTGTTCTTTAATTATACTCGTTCGCCCCACTCCCACTAGCTATTTGTCCACACTACTGTTCCTTGTGTTTGACTACTTGCCAATTACCGAATGCTATAGTTACTTACTTTTGCAGTCATGCATACTACCATTGCAAATGTAGTGTTCTTTGGCTCTGGTTCACACTCCAACACGATATTGAGGGTTGAATGAGTTAGCTAATTAGAGTCAACACTATGGGCTAGTTTAATGCCTCCATTTACGAATTCCGGAGGTTTAGAAAATCTAACAGCAACCAGGTTATAGCAGATGACCAGAGTTTTTAGAGAGTGGAGTTGCGGATAAAGCAGAAGTTCTTGTGCAACGACAATTGAGCATTGAGTTAGTCAGAGGAAGTGTGGGCGAGAAGGAGAAAGGAAGAGAGAGAGAGAGTTTGAGGATGTTAGCAAAAAATGGGACTAAAGAAATATCAAGAAGTAGTATGAAGAGTGTCGCAAGGATTGGGCATCCACGTCACCATTTTTGTAATCCGGGTGTAGATGGAGTTAGCGAGTCTAAAGTGGATTATCGCAAAAGAGACGAGTATACATCGCCAATCTGCATTTTCCAACTGAGTCGCAACTACGTAAACATGGTGTCTCGTAGCAAATTTAAAGTTATATTGCACAAAACACGTTCTCCACTGAGATTGAGGGACATTGCTTTACTATTCGAAATCTGCTCCTTTTTAATTCAAATGATAGAATTGAAGAACTTTTCAGAAAATGTCTGCTGCTAAATTAACTTATTTAAAATGCTGTTTATTGGTATCCTAATGTGTACACTCTGCTTTCTACGCTATCGCAAACATGGAGTCAACTGAGTCATATGACGAACCTTATCGTGAGGTCAAATTAGTAAGTCGGGGCCATTATAGAGCGGAGAATCTGCTGGAAATAAATAACTTGGGGCACGATCATTGCTACTTATTCTTTTATAGTCTAATTACTCATTTAATTGATTTTTAAGCTCCCAAATGTTAGCCAGCTGCTTCTGATTCTCCCTGCAACCAACAGCTCACTCCCATGACACAAGCATTTCGTCACAATAGCATTTCTGTTCCCTCGTGCGTTGAAGAGTTTCACCTCGATTTCTGCTCCCATGACAATTCCACCTTTTGTCAAAGCGACAGTGCCCCTACAATTCAGCGTTAACTATAAGCTCAATTGCAACTAAAATGACTCGTTTACTGATTTTGTAGTGGCATTAGTGAGATCTTCACAGGGAAAACGGGTGCGTAAATTACGTTTGGAAAATTCCACTGCAGTTAAATCAGTGAGGAAAGGGATCAGAGAAAACTTTTGAAAATAGTGAGACTGTAAATTAGCTTTATCAGAACTCGCAAACAGTTCTTCCTATCAGTCGCCTTTTTTAAATCTTCTTTGTTTTCAGGTATTCCCTGGACTAAATATGATGATGCAATAAATAGTGAAACTATTTTGGAGAGAAATTTAGTGGAAAATGCCATTTTTCTAATAGGGGCCGAACATTGTACGAGCTACATGTCACTCTTCCCGTAGTTATTAATTTATCCGTGTTACCACTGTATTTTAGTTACCAAGCTCAGTGTCAACGACACAACCACAGTAGACGCTGCTTTTTGGAGCCATCCTGTGCTCGGGGATTTTGCCATCGAGATTTCTTGTAGGGTTTAGCCAAGGCTTATTTGTATAGCAATCCGCTACAGCATACACAATTAATCTCTGAGTTGTATAAAAAATGGGCAATAATAAAAATGGGGATATTGGAACCCTCACCTTGGTAAAGAGATTGGAAGCAAATACCAGATCTTGTAAAGTTAGAAATCTAACTTCTTTTTTTCGCTATAATACATTAAATTTTAGTCCTTAGCTATTTTTCCAACTGATGATTTGAACATATTTACCGTTATCATACTACGACCACAATTAAGCAAGGGACGCCATGTGTTCCAACTGTACGTTCATACTTAGTTCCCTTAAAAGAATGAAGAGATTAATGAAGTATTAAAGATAAAACCCTTCATTTTAAGACTTTCAGTAAAAAAGGTTTAGCTTCTTTTCTGCAACTTCCCAAGCTAGGTTTTAAGGTATGATATGAAAAAAACGTATCTAGATCAATCATAGTAATTTTATAAGAGTCAAGTGTCTATATTTCATGTTACCCTTTTTCTAAAATAATATGCCCTTATCCTAGGTTTGACTATTCTGAGTAGATTCTTTTCAAAGCGTGAATGTTACTCGGCATTCTTCTCATTTTCTCTCAATATTCGGTATAAATAAGGAATATCAAGACAGTTTTATGAAATAAATGTGATTCTAACTGGGTGGTAGTCAAGAGAATCATCCATAGGCCGGCTTTCACAATTATAACAGTTGAATTAGTTCCTTTTATTGCACCTTTTAGTAGGAGTTTTGAGAAATTAGGTAATGCGTTGTAAACTGTATCAACTCCATGTTTAATTGTTCTTTATATTTTTATTCTGGATCTTTCAATTTATACAAGCCAATGTAAGAAATAAATATGCGATAACTTAATTCATAGGTTTAGTAATTCTTCGTACATTCGGAGCATGTGCAACCAATCAAATCCCCGAATATGGTGCCGGCCAATTAAAATTCAATATAAACAGTGAGATGTGCATTGAATAAAATGGCGACACGATGGCACACTGATCCAGTCATTTTCAGACTGCTGTCCTGATTCGCGCCTAGAGTTAAATTAATGTCCAAATTAAATATAGATACAATAACCACTGCTTCTTTTCTGAGATCATACTATTTGTCTCATCAATTAGTGCGGAAGACAATTTGAAAATGCAGATGATCTTTCAGCAAAATCAATATTGTGTGCAGACCGGCTTCTGTGAAATATTATTCCTATGTTCTATCTCACCTGACTTCGCCATAGGAGTTAAATGTACTTAGAAAATCTATTTATTTTTATGAAATGACGGGCGTTTAGATAGTTATCATTAGCCCTTTGGTTGACTTCAGGCTTCACAGAGGGGAAGGAACATCAAAGTAAAAAAGTAAAGAGGGGGGTTGGGAGGAACAGGAGAGCGTTTCAAGGATGCAAGAGACAGACACAAAGGAAGAAAGGTGAGGTGAGTACTTTAGAAATGATCGAATATGACATATAGTCAGGTCATGGTAGTTTGAAGTCAGAAGTCCACTGCCTGTTAATAGACCTTTTTGCCGTATGCGTATGCGTTGCCCAGGGTGCACTACGTGGAGGTAGGTCTATCCCACACCCACTTTAGAAAATCAAGTCCATGGAATTAATTAATTCCATCGTTATATTCATATCTACTTATAATATGGTTAGTAGCAGGGCTCTAAATAGATTGCAAGTGAAAAATGCGAATTTGATGGCAATCTGTACCAATCCAATCAGTATTTGTTTACAGAAGTGACAAAACCATAATGAATTCACCTCCATTAATCTCTCTTTATTGAAAAGCAGGATAATTAATGGCGAAAATAGATAAAGAAACTAGGGAGTAGACTTGTCAGGGTTGTCCTTATTTTATTTACGAAGTGGTTACATCGCGTGTAAGTAATTCCTCGCCCCATTTTACATAACGGAAAGTTCACTGGAAGAGCGACAGTGGCAGGTTAGTGAGAAGTTTTAAAATTCGTTAATGAATTAAAAAAATATTTATGTGGAGGGAACCATTATACTTATGTAATCTAAAAATAATGCATTCTAATAACGACTTAATAGGTAACAGTAATTATTTTGCTAACATAAGTGAACAACAGATTAATGAGTGAACTCCCCATTAGATTCACGAGTGGTAATGCCAGGTTTCTAACCTAGATTTATCGAATATTTTTTGGTTTTGTGATTAACTGATTTACACAGTACTTTATCGATTTTTATTGGAAAGGTTGTTTACAAATTTTTGGTACATTCCTGGCAAGGTCCATGGAATTTAGCTCATTGATTACTTGATCTTTCCGTATGTGAAAATTGGGCGTCTAACTGTTAGCTTCCCAATCGATTCTATGCCACAATTGGTCAATTATGCCCATAGGCGCTACAGATATATAAATGCGTATTTTCTCGAAAAACGTACTGCCACTGAGATACGTTGCTTCTGATATCTTTCATTTTCTACTGGGCCTGTGTAGCTACCTATAATCATTTTGGTCCCCATTTACTCAACATATTTTGAACTCCATTTCTTCTTTTACCCTAAACACTGTTGTAAAATTAAGAAAATCATGATAAAATCTACAAATAAATGAAAATCTGCGAAAAAGGCAAAACTTGAAAGTTTTAGCAAAATCAATAAAGCTTAATAGAAGACTAGTTCTGGGACTAGGATAATTCAGTCATTTGAAACCAAATAGAATTCTTGAGACAACTTGAAATTTGAAATCAAGTTTACTTGAAATTAATTCAGATATTTTGCAGATTAAAGCTCATTCAAATGAATGTATTTATACGGAGAGTAAAAGAATTTGTTGTAAAGCGGAAGTCGATAATGAAACGATTTTCAGGATTGAAAGCTGTATCGTATAACACACTCAAGAAGGAAGCTTTGTTGGAAAGAAGAGAGAAAGGTCGAGGCCATTCAAGTCTCATAAGATATCTCTACAGTTTCTGGTCCTTTTTCCTTCGGAACAATTTTGATTTAGACGTTTACAATGAGTTCAGAGAGCTTGCTAAGGAAGACGCTGCCGTAGGATATCGTTATGGTCTAGAATGTTTATTTCGCTTTTACTCCTACGGACTCGAAACAAAGTTCAATCCGATTGTCTACCTAGATTTTCAGGTCAGCTTAAATTATTTAGATTAGCTTTTTCTAGACGGAAGCACTCAGAGACTACGATTCGAATCATTTGTATGGATTGGAAAAGTTCTGGGCTTATCAAACATATGCCGGTTATAAGCTCCCTCGAAAACACCCTCGCATTAGACAATTACTGAAAAGATATAAGACTCTCGAAGACTTTCGTTCAAATGTAAGTTTGAATATTTCTTTTCATAGAGAAATATATAGTTTGAAGCTCCACAGGGTTTCTACTACAATTTCGAACACGAGAAACCAGAGGTCCTTGGTCAAAAACGAGCCAAACAGGGTTCGAGTGGAGGAGAATCACAAGATGATATTCATGAGCAATTTCGTGATGAATCAGCTGTCAAGAGAGTTCGTAGAAATGAAAGTGCAGAAGATGTAACTTCTAAAATATTGACTAAGAAAGAGGGAGTCGGTGTACCAAAAACGGGTAGTGATACAGGTGCCTCTACTTCGCAAGAAAGTGGTATAACAAGCGGAACTTCGTCGGAATTTGAAGGCAGTTCACCCAAAGGGCAGTCACTCCCGAGTTCTCCACAATTAGATAACACCTTAATAGACTTATCTACGTAACGGTTGCAAGTCCATACAATTACTACATTTTACTTCCCCATTAGCGATATATCATTGTTATTTGTCTAACTACAAACAGGCGTACTTCACGATGTATATATTTCCACTATCTCTTTTTTATCCCCTTTCTAATCTGTGGAAATAAAAGTCAAAATCAAATTAAATGTGTTTCTTATGTTAGAAGTGTTTCTTTAACAGTTCACGGCTTGAAAATTCTAAGTATATTGGAACTAATTGCACTCCCGCAATCAGGTCAAAAATTATTATTAAGAAATTGTTAACGACAGGTCAAAATACTGTTCTACCTCCATTGTTATCCGATTAATGTGATAAGCCGGGTATGCTATGTTACTTCATGTAGAGAGATTTTCAGTTTGAGTGATTATTTTTCGAGGAAAAGATTGTTTATCCATTAAATTCGACTAAATGATTCGAAGAGAACAATTTAAACAAGCCTGGCTAAAACGATTTCAGCGCGTTAGAACATTCAAGAAACCGTAGGTGAGAGTGTAGAAACCTTTCACTAAGAAAACAACGGAGTTAATTTAACCTGACAAGACAAGGACAGTATTTAATGTCTACACACTATTGTAGTCACTCAACATTTTCAATAAGCGCGCTTCACCCCCCCCCCCTCTATGAAATATGTTCTCTTTAATAATAACGTAATGAAGCTTACTTTTGGAATAGTTGTTGTGGTAAAATTACTATCATTTTGCATATTTGTGCAATATTCTATGTACTGAAAAACTAGTTATTCTCAGGTTTTAAAAATAATAAGTACGTAAAAAAGAGACAAGTCACTATTCCTTTTTTGTCACAATACATTTTCCGTAAGCTCTGATTTTAAAATTTACTGTTTCTTTATACCCAGATAATTTAACTTGTCATCAATTATTTACGAAGTTACTTTCCAGAAGCTCTGAATTTTAAATTTTACTACGTAAATAATTGATAACAGGTTAAACTATCTGGGTATAAAGAAGCAGTAATTAATTTCTCAAATAACTCACAAATGTTAAATTAATATACACATAAAATTTAGAAAAAAATTCACGCAAAATTATTTTGGTTGCTTTGGTTGCAAATTATAGTGCTGATGCTTCGTTAATGAACCTAGTTTTTGATTGGTTGTCTAACAACTTATATATACATTACTTTGTTGGTCCCCCTTTTTTCAAAAGGAAGATGAACAGTCCTGGCACTGAGTTAGTAGAAATAAAACATGAAGAAGAAAAAGAAGTGTGAGTTCATTCTTCTTTCATTTAGCTTTTTGACTGGTCTTTTGTTTGTCCACAACCAAAATGTCCCAAAATCATTTATGGGCTTTAAGATTAATTACGAATTTGGAATGCAAATTTTAAACCTTACCTAATATTCTTTTTGGTGTCGAATTTCGTTTTTACATTTTCATGATTTCTTTGTTTGAGCATTTATCCCAAAGTGTGACTATGCTCGTTTTGGTCTGGTTCTTAGAGTTCCGAGGATTTCCGAATTTCCCGAGTTCGCGGAGATATGTTGTTTTATGCATCACTTTGGAGATAAACTTGGAATTTCTCTTACCTTCTCAAGAATAGCCCGACTTTTATCATGTGAAACTGATGGTACGTCCGTGTTTTTCATAATCACTCTTATCTTTTCATAATTTTAATTATTTTCTTCTTATTTTCAGCTGATTTACAGTCGTTGACAACCCTTTTGGTAAAATTGCTGAATAAAATGCATCATCGTTCTCAGTTAAACCGCTGGCAACCTGCTTTAGGACGTTTTCTTCAACGCCAAGCTTACAATTGTGATGAGCTGCGAGAAATTGGAGACGCTTTGAGTAATGGCGATGCATCCGTTCTCTTTTTTTCGCTGCCACCGGAAAAACGTCTCCGAGTCCTTCTCTTCTGTTTGGAAACTCAATTCCAACTTAATGTTCCCTTCAAGGAGAAAATTAAATCAATTGACACGCCGACACTCAGATCTCCGCCGTTGGGTTTCGACATATTCGGTAATTCCTATTGGCTCCTCGTTGACGATGAATGCAACTTCCTTCTTTACCGATCTGAAGCCATTAAGATGTCACTTGAGGTACGTTAAACATTGTTGATTGCAGACATATTAGGCATTCCTCTATTCTTAAGACCGAGATGTCAGTGGAGAGCAGAAGGTAATTTAATGTCGTAAGAAATACATGGGAGATAACATGGAAATTAAACGAGTGGGGATAGGATTGTCTTAACTGGACTGAATTTAGATGCTTACTTCCATTGTTTGCCGTTAAAGTGACCAATAACACTCCTCGTCTAACGGTTAGGAAAATGCGAACATGAGTCGAACTTGGCACTAGATTAATTCCTGCTAGTCACATTCTACCCAAAGACAAGTTTAACGTCAAATTTAAGGAACAATATTAATTTATCGAATTATTATGCAATTACGTCGAGAAGGTTAGGCTGTTGTAATACTAGGAAGTGTAATTTCTGTTGTTTAGTAATGGAGGAGCGATTTCTCCAGGACACTGTATTTTAGGAATACGCATTGGGGGGGGGGGGGGGGGGGGTTAGACTAGATATCTCGTTATTCGTTCCAACTTGCTCCTTCATATAAAGTGAATGGAGACTGTTTATAAATGAGTACAAATACCTTGATGTTTGTCCATTTTCGGAGGTCGAAATACGGTCACACGAATAATAATTTATGTCTTTAATAGTTGTCTGGAGCGTCACAATGGTTGACTCAAAGGCAAATATGGGCTTTTTTCGTTGAATCTCTATCATAGCACGTTCTAATGCGTTCTAGTGCAAACCATTCAATAGCCTTCTTTTTTGACATTCAATTTAAAGCTGCTGGCGGACACAATTCCAGCCTTGCGGAACGTGCTTGCCGATTTAAAAGATGAGAAATACGAAAAAGTGCCTGTGTCCGACCTCTATACGCCCTTTCGAAGCTCACTTCCTAACCCCGAATCAGTTTTTGAAAGCGTCAAATTATCTTCGCCACAATTTGAGCCTCCTTCCTCGCCTGAAAAAATTAATATGGATGAAATCAAGCCGATTTCTCAAGTGAAGCAAGAAGCTACAGAGCAACTTGCCGAGCAAAAGCTGGAGGAAACAAAGGTGGAGGAGTTGACGGTAAATCCCAACGCAGAGCTTGATACCCGGTACTTTCTTCTCATTGCTTTTCACGCTGCGTTTTCCTGAAGATAAATTAACTAACTTTCACTTTTAGTAAGGGTGGACTTGTTGGAGAACAACAGGATCCTGGAAGCCTATCCGCCATTGAATCTGTGGTCACTACGTAAATCAAATTTGTCAATTTTATAACTTATTGATAAAACATGTTATTTAACTTATTACTGGTTCTTTAGAGAGGAGGCCCAAGCCTCAGAAACTCCTCAAAAGCATGACCAAATGGAAGAGAGCACACAGTGAGTAAACTGTCTTAGATATCCGTTTGATTTTAAAACCGAAATTGAATCATAAATTCAGCTATTAATTTCAGAGGAGAGACTTTGGGTCTACGTAGAAGCAGTCGGAAACGCAAGCCAGTAGAGTTTCTAAAAATTGAAACCTTCTCCTCCAAATATCGGAGCAAAAAGTCAACACAGTCTTCTCCTCAGCCGATGAAAGAGGAGCAGAAGTTGAAGGGGAAAGAAAAGAAATCCATGAAGAAAAAGCTTCATAAATGCAAATCCTCGAAGAGACCCCGCTGCAATAGGAAAAGGAAGTATCGAAATGGGCACAACGGAAACGGCGCTTGTCTTTGGACTCGCTCTCCTGAAGACTCAGAAGAATCAGAAAACGATGAAGAGGAAGATTTGTGGGAAGAAGCAGCAGAAGCTCTCGGTGAAAACAGTGATTTCTCTCTTCTGGAGAAGGAGAAATGTCTTCCTTATGACTGGTTGGAAGACATTGAGAGCGATTTCGATGAAGGCAGTGCAGGTAGTGACGAAGGCATAATAACAGGTCGAAATCTTCAACGTCGTCAAAATGCTGAGGTATTAGATGAAGCACCTTGTCAAATCTGTACAATTTCAAATCATCCCGAATGGCTGCTTCTCTGTGATTCGTGTGATTTAGGTTATCATGCTCAGTGCCTGCGACCGGCGCTGCACTACATTCCTCCCGGTGATTGGTTCTGTCCGCGTTGCCTGCACTCACGTTTGGTCACGGCTCTCTCTGATCAGCTGGAAAGTCTCATCGTGAGGAGTAAGAAGTTTGACAGCGCTGCAAGAATGCAAGAGCGGCTAAATTTTGTCAACATTAGTGTCTCCAATATTCTCAGAGATGAACGCACAAGGCAACGCAACGAGAGTTTTTCCACTTCATCCTCATCATCTGAAGATGGGGATGGCTCGAGAAGACCAAGACAAAAACGTCCGCGGTATTACGAGAGCGATGTTTCCACATCCAGTTCAATTTCAGGCTCCGAACAAACCGAAAATGAAAGCGAGGAGGAGGAGGAGGAGGAAGAGGTGATTCCAGTCAGATCCACTCGTCATAAAAATATTCGTTACGATGTGAACGCGGCCTTTCAGGAACTAGATGAGGTATTAGTCGAAGATGAGAAGTATGCACTAGAGAAGTTGGAACGCAGTAAAGCAAAAACTATTCACTCAGGGGAGGAACAAGAGAATGAGAGGGAGCCGAATTATGTTCCTTCGGAACGACCACCGTTACCTCCTTTAATCACACCCAAGGTGAAGAAAAGGGCCTTCTCTTCATCCTCATCGTCTGAGTCAGGTGCGTTAGGTTCGGAGGGTGAGGGAAGGAAGAGACGGACACGTCGGCCTTCTTCAGGAAGTGAGGAGTTCCGTCCTTCGAATGAAAGTGCTACAGATGAGGAAGACTCAGAATTCTGCGAAGTCCCGGAGGAGGATTCCGATGGAAATTACTCGGAGAGCGTGTCCTCTGATCAGAGCTGGAGGATGGGCGGTGGTCGTCGTGGTCGTCGCAAAAGGAGCAAATTTGGCTTTGGGGGAAGGAGGAGCAAATGCCGCTCCAAATATCGTCGAAGTGGTGTTGGAAGGAGTAGAAGTGGGCGTCGCATTCCACGATTTGAAGGGCCTTCAAGTGATGATGAAATTCCTGTTAGGTAAGAAGTGTGAAGATGCGAATCAAAGATAGGCAGTTATAAAATGTTCATTACTTAAAGGAGACGTAGAATGGATTTGATAATCTTGAGCACTTTAGAAATTAACACGTTTGATAAAAACTTTAGGGTCTTTTGTGAACAAATTATTTCAAACCTTTGCAAAGATAGTTCCTTAGCATATCACCATTGAAACTGTTCTTCCTCTTCCAACTTTGAACTTTATTAATTTTACTTACGAAAAGCTTAACGGAGATCAGCATCTTGTCATATTATAACTAGGGTTAGACTCAAATAAAGGATAACTAAGTGCTCTGGTGGTAGTAAGATTCAATTTGTAGAGATTTCATGAAAGCTTTAATTAACAGCTGATATTTTAGGTGAGGGCATTAGAAAATCGAAAGTCCTACTGTTTTTATTTAACTGCTCTCACTTTCCTACAATCTATTAGTCTATTAGTCATGTATTACGCCTGTCATTTTTTATAGAATCTCAACATTCGATTTAATAATTTAATCAATGACGATTTCAAGCGAAGTTCCGATTAGCTCTCCGCATTTATCTTGATCATTAGAGCAGTCATGACCCTCTTTCTGATCCGATACTCCAGTTCTCCCGTCCAATCTTTTATTAGCCAGATTAAATCATCATAATTGGTCTTCTCTCCTACTGTGTATTAATGGATATCTATTCTGATGAATTTATATATATACAAATATATATATAGTTATTTCATTTACAGACTTTAGCTATGTTTTACTAGTTGGCCGGTAGTTCTTATGTCCTTATTTTATTTTATGGTTCTGAGTGATTTTGGATTACTCATTATCAGGGGCTTTGGTCGCTGATATTTCAGATGCAGTTTTTTCTTCCTATAAGCCCCGTTTTCCCTCCACCACTTTTAACCTGTTCTGTAATTTTTTCTGCATTTGACTAACCCTTTTAACTTTTTTATTTTTGATTTGAATATCTAGGATTTTCACTCGGACATTCTCTGCAATTTACCTCGATTCTCTTATTTATTTATCATGGAAGAATAGTGCAGATTTATAATTTCGTCAACAAAATTGTGGTTTCCATCTTTCATTGATGATTTCTTATGTTCAGCGTTTTATAATTTCGCGATTGCTCAAATTATATACCTGACAAGTTATAGTTCATGAGATCCAGGTCTATCGTCATACTTCTGTCCAGAAAGAGGGGTGGTAGTGGAATGTGAGTTTCTTGATTTATTCTTTTTCCTGCCAGATCCAGGTTGCATTCTCCTTAAATCGAGTGCTTCTTTTCTGAAGCTTACCGTCTAGGTCAGGATTTTATTCTCTTTAGTATCATATCGAACTCCTTTATGTGTTCTGTTGTAGACGAAGTGCTCGAGTTCGAATCAATTATCGAGAAATCGATAGCTCAGAGGAGGAAGAGGTAGAAACGAAGAAAAAAAGGGGATCCTCCGAAAGTGAATATGCTCCAAGTCAAGAAGAAGAAGAAGAGGAACAGGGAGGAAAATTACCCAGTGCTGTAGAAGCTGAAGAAGAAAAGGTAAAGGAAGGAGAGGAGTTGAAAAAGGAACATGCTCTAGAAGATGAGGGGATGGAAAACCGGAATCCACTACCTTCCATACATCCGGTTCAAACGATTACAGCTCCGGAAATCCACGAAATTCCACAAGGTATTACTACCGATTTTCCTTTACCTCCTGAGCTGGAGTTGGACGAGAGTGAGCTACAGATTGATGAGGAGTTGATAAAGGGAGATGACACCATCTTTCAGGACCTTTTGATGGGAAATATTAACTTGCCAATGAGTCAAGAACCACCAGGTCCTGAGGGAGGTCCAGTGGAGGGACCATCTCAACTTTGATTTTATCCCCACTTGAATGTAAATAGAACATTTGTGTATATCTGTATTACGAGCTTTTTCATAATCTCTCCGTCCATCCGTGAGGAGATGCATGAGTATTCTTTTCGATAATCTTTTTTATGTTCTTGATGTCTTGACAGCTATGCAAGGGCTTTGACGAGAGTATCAATCTTGCTTTCTTTGATACTGCTTAATAAAATGCAGACTATTGTGGAACTTATTAGATCACATGATAATGGATTGTCTTCCATTCGCTCTGCCATTTAATACTTCGCTTATTGCTTGATTTAAGCATAAACCTACCCTCCTCTAAGTGTTGTGGAGTCTTAAGTCTTAATATATCAGATGCCCTCAGTACTATTGTGAAAAAGCTGTAATGTGGAGTTGGTCCCACGAAGATTTCGTCAAGCTTTGCTTTAATTATTGCCAACACTTTGAAATGTTCTGTGGCCTTACGAGTAGTTTGGCTCTATAAATAATACGAATTAGAGCATCTGTGATTGTCACGTTCAAATTAATTTGTGACAATACATGTGTGAGCTTAAGAAGCTTGCTGAGATGGTCTTTATAATACCTGTGGCCCTGAGCCCACCAAGTCTAGGAGATATGGAAAGGGACGTCAAATTGAGCAGGAAACCAGGGGGGCGGTGGGGCATTTGACTGCTTTTATTTAAAGGCGAAATAATTTTCGATTTGTTAAAGTGAATTAGTCTCGGTGGGTGTCTTCGAATAAAAGCACCAATCACCACACGAGTGCCCACAATCAGATGATGTTCAACGTCTTGAACGCTATTTGAGTCTGATGCGTTGTTGTCCACTGGTATGAATGAAAGATGTATAATGGAAAGAGGCTCTAGACAATGACGCAAAAAAGACCTCATTAATTTGGTAGTTAGTGTTTGATAAAGTATATGTAACCTATGGGAAGGTATTATCAGTAAACCTTACAACTTTGATGATCTAATGACGTAGGGCTGAGATTCTCTGACTAGCACTTCCGCAATCCCCTCTTGAGTGAACTTTCTCTCTTACACAAAGGAAGATCAGGATGCCAATTATATTATGATAATAGTCGAAAATCTGGAATGATTGAATACCCATCCTGAAGCCGATATGTTCATCCTAATAAGCGTGGTAAAATGAAGACAATTAAAGGGCTTTTTGTTTACTGAAGAAATGAGATCAGAATTTTAGGTATAAGAATCACATTAGACAGTAACTTAAATTTCATGCAAGTAGGCTGAAATTTCCACTAGAATTGTCCCTACTAAATTGGACTATCAATGTAGAAATTATCTACGAGGGACCCAAGGCCATCGAATCAACTATTTGCACGAAATGGGATTCGACTTATCGGTAAGTGAGTATAGTGAACTTTTGACAACTTGACAGTCAGCCCGGAAAAAAATGTGAGCAGACTCATTTGCAAAACTCCATTTTGTAAGAAAAATATCTTAGGTGTTTCGGCCTCCTCCTCCTCCTCCTCCCCCCTATAATTAAGACCATTTATGGGAAGCTGGAGCTTATGCAATGTAATTCAGCTATATTAAACTGTGTAAGTAACAAAATTATATGTAGAAAGGTGGGGTGTGCGATTGACTTACCTTCACACAGTGCACCCTGGGCAACGCATAATCATACGGCAAATAAGTCAATAAACCGGCAGTTGACAACAGACTATCATGGCCCCACTGCATGTCATATTCGACCACTTCCACAGTACTCCCCTCACATTTTCCCCTACCTTTGTGTCTACCTCTTTTACATTCGTGAATCACTTTTCTGTCCTCCCCCCACCCCCCTCCACTTTCTGTGACGTTGATGCTGCTCCCTTCTGTGAAGCCCGAAGTCAACTATTGGGCTAATGATAACTACCATAAACCCTACCAGTTAATAATAGTAATAATATATAGAAAGGCCATATTCAACTAAGCTTTTCTTCAGGCATTAGAAATTAAGCATGGTTATTGGTAAGTATAAAATTTCCTTTTGATATTGTACCATAGTTGTAGTCGCATAGGAGTTACTTGATGAAATTCCAATACATTCTTGGTTTTTTAGGTCAAATGCATAGAATAGCGTAACAGGCTCACGCACATTTCAGTATAGCAAAATAATAACTAGTTTTTGTTGGTTTTGGATATACGTTCAAGCAATTAAGCGGGTATTTTTTTACAAACTTCTTTTATCTGCAAATCTAATTTTGCAAGTATTTGAAATAGAAATAGGTGTTGTACGCTTGGCGTTATTATGGATGTAACGCGATCAGGGCATTTAATTGGAATATTTTATAGTAATCATGATTTATAGATCTGATTTGTAACAAATGCAATCATTTTCCTTTCATTATCTTCGAAAGAAAGCCAGTTCCATATGACGCCACCGGGCACTTTAACTAGAATCTATTTCTCCCATTTTTAACGCAGTTCAGTTGATTTCTATTGCTGAAATGCCACTAAGTGCATCTATCATAGGGCTTAAGCAAAAAGCTTAACTGATGGATAATTTGGTTGCTCTCATAATCGGATTTACACCATTTTTATCGAACGATTTACCTTCAATGTGAAAGATTATCATCAGGCCACCTTTTTATGAATAACTACAAGAGAGCCGACTCAGATAGTGTAGCGGATTGCTACCTTAGTAAAGCCTGAATGACTCAGACATCTCTATGGCAGATGCTCCAACATCTAGCTAGACTCCCAGAACTGGCTAATCTATAGCCCAGCTATAAAGGAAACAGACGTGTAGCACGGAGCACATTTATTCAGTGAGTATCTTGCGGATAAAGTGTTTGTACGGCCGCACCTCCCAATCCTGGCGAGCAGACATGCAGGCATACGATGACGCACAGAGCGATAACGTGTCCCACAATAGTTCGTTTCATCTAAAGAGAATTATTCGGCTTTGACTTTTGTGTGTTGGGTTAACGGTTAAGGGTTTAAAATGCCATTTCATTGCTCCTACAGTTATGGTAAATCAGGCAATGATATTGATCAGAGTTGCTATTTATCCTTTTAATTAATATATACAACCGTTTCGAGACACTATTAATCAATTAGAATGGCATATTTGTTACTAATGAACAAAAACCCTCCTAATTGATTTTATTTTCAACCAGAATCTTTTCAAATTCATGGTTTAAGTCGATAAGAAACGTACTTTCGTTGATATCATTTCTGTATCTCGTTAAAATTACAGCTTCCGTTGTTAAATCTTTCTTCACTTTACATAGGGTGCCATGACCACTATTATGCATGCAGGCATGTTGCATGGGTTTAAGGGGTTGTTTCTATCCCTATTGGTTTCAAATTTATTATTTATTAAAAAACACCAACTTATCCTATTACCTATTGAAACACTAGTTAGAAATCATTAAGTTTCAGTAAACTTTACGGAACAACTTTTAACACATTTCGAATTACAGACTTAATTTGATTTGTAATATCATGACAGTTTAAAACGGTCCCCATTAGTTATTGTCAGAACAGGATCGTAGTGTGTGTTTGAAGTTCTGATTTTATTAATTTTCCATCATTTAACTGTATCCCTAATTTGGACTATTTACGAGATTGTAAACTGACAGGAATCTGGCAAACGAACCTCATAAGTAGTAGTTACCACCATTCTTACTAATATGCGGACTCACGCTGCCCATAACAGAGGTAACAATACTTGACCACTTCAGTGCTGCTTGATCTTCGGCATCAGAATTGTGATGGCGACATATATTCAAATGCCTAGTCTTGACTCTCTTGACATAAAAGCGCTTCTCTCTGACCTTGAATCAAATGTAGCCCAGGAGTATCTAGTGAGCCCATAGACTATGATGACCAAAACCACTCCTCCTGGCATTCACCAACTTCTTCATTTACACAGCTAACTCAGTTAATATAGAACAAAGTTGTGGCCCTGGTTACATTCGAAATACCTCTTACAAAGGAAGTTGGAGACCATATTTGCCTCGGCTAATAAAGGAGTTAGATAAAATGCGAATACAATTACTGTGAACCTTAATTTCCATGCTCAAATGGAAATTAATATAAATGTGCTAGAACGTGGTTTGAATGCTGTCGGTGACTTGGATAGGGTACACAGTTTGCATCCAAAAGCGCTCCCCTGTCGACTATAGTGACTTTCACGCTGGTGTCTGCTTTTACAATCTCACTACCCCGTTTCTATTTGCCAAGTAATTGTAGCGGATTGCTACTTTATTAAAGCCTGACTGACTC